TAATTCAATCTTCAACTCGTGGCGATTGGTGATAAAGATCTACCTCATATTTTTAGCGTCAGCGAGAAAAAAAAAAATAATCTTCTGTGAACCACTGGTGGTCCGTGTACAACTGATTGGGAAACACTGGTTTAGGGCAGTCTCTGTCTGTCGTGTCGCACGCAACGCGTGGTCCACGATCGTACTGATGACGCGCGCGATTGAGTCTTGCCCAATAGCACAAAACAATACAATCAACAAATGTTTCGATATATAGGTATGATCTTATATACTTACTGCATGCAACGTCTGTACAAATATGTTCATTTATTGCTTTATGAAAAAAGAAACGATTTAAGGTCTAAAATGGAAGAAGAAATAATATTAATGGAGGTAAGGAGGTCAAGTAATACATCATCTATTTACTCCAAATGTCAACCTACTCGTGGGCTTATTCTCAAATTTTAAAATCTATCACAATAACTTTCAAAGGTATATATCGATTGGAACTGTATAACTTATAAAGAAGCAATCATTCTTGAAACGAATAAATATTTGAATAATCAAGAATCAATAAAATCTTACCTAAACCTGTCGAAAGATTGCTGATAACATTTCGTTTCAAGTTTCTCATTAGCCTTGCAAAGATATTTGCGTTTAAAGCTTGCCTTAGAAAATTCCGAGTTACTTTAAATTAACGATAACGTTCATTCAATAACTTAATAAAAAAGATCACGCACGTAAATCACTATTACATATCAATGTCATTTATTCAGACTGTTACAAGCACTTCTGAATGTTGATAGCTATGCTGTTGATTCGTAAATCTATGCCGAGAGATATTGTACAGAGAAGAAGTTACTATTACGTTTCAAATAATAGGCTAGGTGACAATTTCTTTTTTTGTTTTATAAACAAATAGTCCATTCATATTTGAGAAATAATGTAGAAGTAACAGCATGTCTGCGATTAATAGTTTCGTGAATAAGGTGTTATGTTTGTAGAACTGCTGATAGTCGGTCGAAAACGCTCCCTACAAATTCAAGCCACTAACTGACGCCATACAGTGCTACGGTAATGAAAAACGTATGGTCATTTACGTTTCATATACTAATATAATGCCATATGTATTTTAGCAAATTTTTGTAATATACTTTCTCTGCTTTTCTCAAGTTTTAAAAGCGTAATATTTTCTAATTTAGTGCCATAAAATTTATTTTGTTAAATATTAATAAGTTAAAATGGTTCAAATATTCTGAACATAGAAACTTGTATTGTCGCTTGTAGAACACGAGCCCATTGTAGTGTGAAGTTCGTGAATATCTTTACAAATGTCAAATTGAACGGGACTACGGTAGATTTTCAAATTCGACAATTAGACCCTCGGTTGTGCGTTATGGCGACGTTTGAGATCGTGGTATCTCTCTTGCTAGAAACCGTACGGGGCTCTGGAGTCAGAGTTAATGGTGGAATAACAGCCAACTGGGATAAGAGAGGCTTAAGCGAGCCCTAAACCCTAACAAGAGCCCTAAGCGAGAGGGACTAAAAACCAACAAAAGAATGACTTATGCAGAATGCAACGGGATGCACCTGTCCCATTTTTCCCATTAACTTTGTGGTGCAAAGTCAAAATAAAGTATGGCAATGCATTCATGCTCGAAGGATCAGTCATGATGTTTTTGACCAAAAGGATGTCGTTACATATGTTATGAAATACAGTTTTCAAACACAAACAACTAGTAAATAAATTCAGTTAAAAAAACTTAATAAATTCTATGTAAGTCCTATAAATACAATGTATTTCACTGTAGCAACATAAAATAAAGCGAGTAAACTACTTGGAGCTCAATAAATTCAAAACTGTATTTTCAGTTCATTAACAGCATGCAACAATAGAAACTTGTATATTATTTTCAGTAAAAATATTAAACAAAGACGAAAATTGTTTGGGCGTTATATCATGTTGGTTTGTGATAGTTTGTAGTTTGGATTTTTATTGTATACAATGTAAAGTTAATTAATGTCATAAAAGTGCGTAAACAAATTACCTAATGTAAAATAATTATTGTAAACAAGATAAAGTCCATTCAAACCAAGGAGGCAATAATTATTTAAAATGCGCTATTACTTCGCCAAATAATTTAAAACAACTTTTAAAACTAACTTTACAGTCAAGGTTTAAAATGAATGATTTTACAGTAATAATCTTAAATGAATAACCTCTTTTTATATATTTTTTTTATCTGTAGTTATCTAAAAAGTTTTGTAGTCACGAGAACATCGAAACAAAAAACAAATGCTTACCGGAACATTCCCAAAATACCACGCTCAATTTTTTTTATGGTAGTATTTAAATCAAATGCATCATAATATTGCTTGTAAATACAAAGTTTTTAAATTGCCATTAGGATAAAATTGCAATTTACAACCCTAAATCCGATTGTTGCGTGTTCTAAATATACTTTTTTGCTTTTTATCGTTTTTAGGGAACCGTGATGCAAGAGAATAATTCTGATGAGTCCATGAATTCGTTCAAGATATGTTAAAAGTAATATCTCAATCAGATAATAAGCAGATAGAGATTTAAAAATCTATCAGTAACACTGCCTGTTTATAAATAACTAAATATACATTAAGTATTGATTTATATGCTAAAACATTTTTCTAGACATCTTTATCTTTGTTTTTTGTAAGTGCCTATGCATTAAAATCGTATTAGACAACATCACATATATTGCTCAGAATTCAAGATGAGTATCTGAGATAAGGAAGGTACTACAACACCCAGAATTATTACAAGATGACTAACTTCAAGATTTAGATCGTATTAATAGTATTGTAACAGACCCGTCGAGTGTAACTTTACAGAGATAAATGGCCAATAAATAATTTCTTATCATTAGGTACATAGGCACGTAGAAATTGTACGGCATTCGCTTGTGGAAATAATTAGATTTTGGGTATTTTGGGTGGAATAATGATTTTAAATTGTAAGATTGGTTTACCTTGTCGAATTTTGGATGATAAAAATCGTCGAAATCTTTTTTATAATGATCTGTTTTCGTATGTTTTATTATGATGGTAGTATAGCTCTTGCACAAACTAGAATAAATACTATAACCCAAGTTTTAATGGGTATTGACTCTGCCGAACTGTTTTTTATTTAACAAAGATAACAAAAACTAGCTTATCAGATTACGGTTTGCAGGTGTATAATTTTTTATTAGATTTAGTGCATTTTTAGTTGCCACGAGTTTTGAAAAACTTATTAGGACTATTTACAAACACTAGCCAAATCATCAATTAAAAAAAAAACAATTTTTATTATATAGAAGCTGTTTTTTCTGCAACTTCACCTGCGTAAAGAGCCTATGTTACTCGCGTATGATGTAGATTCCGTAGATGAAAGAATTTTTCAAATCCAAACAATAGGGATGATGGCGGGGTAAAAAAATACAATTCTATTTAGTCCGTCAGTCAGATAATAGAAAAATATTAGATACGTATTTTTTTTTTCTTCAATTTAACAAGAAATAGCTTAGATAACAGGCATTAAAGTTGATGAGTGGGGTCTCGCTACGTCACAGTTGAGTAGAAAACGTACCCAACGTGACGTCATGCGAAATTTCAACTCCATGTAACGCCGTAATTTTTTGATTACGAAAAAAAATAAAAAAATACGTGTTTAATATTTTTTAACACTCTACCTGACGGAAAAACAAACAAAAATTAGTCATCATCCCTATTAAATCTTTCCTCTTAATAAACGATTAATAATAAACACATGCTTTTTCGATGATGAATTGACAAGGTAGCGAGGTCGACAGACCCATATTTCGTATACTTAAATTAAAAATATGTAATGAGAAATAATAAAAATGATTTCAATATTATTATGTTAAAGAAAGTCTGATTGTAACTATTTTTATTACATTAGAGTTATACGATTGTGAACAATAGTCTATATATAACGTCGTTGTACGTATTTATATCGCGTCTTTATAAAGGATTCCCTATACGTTGTTGCATGAATTGTATCGTGGGTTCGATTAAACCTTTCATTCACAAGATGGCGGTTCCGTGATTGAACTCTATAGCAATTTAATCAGGCATCGTCGTTGATGGCATTTTATTCTATATGGTTAACCTAATCAATTGCTAAGCTTACGTTATCGCGCGACACGTTGTGACATTGCGAAACGAGACGCTAACCAATTTTTTTCTAACAGAGATATACGTAGATAAATAGATCACACTTTATTGTTAACACCAAATACGAAACATACATAGAACAAAAAAAAAACAACATTATTTAAGCTATGTGGCACAATCGGTAGTCTTGTCACTATACTGCGTTCTTTTTCAGAAAATCTTTGCATAATCATAATAATAATTATTATGATTTCAATTTTACCTCAACGTTATATTCTAAAATATAAATATACATTAAACAAACATATTACTTAGTCTGACAAAGAAAAAGAAAGAAATCATTTGCAGTAGATAAATAAAATTAATGCTGTAGGTAGAATTTCTTTGTGCGCAAGAAATTCTACTAAACAAGTCCATTGCTGTCAAAGATATTTTTAACACACAAGATATTGTAGTACTCTCAAGGTTTTCCTGAGAACAGTGACCCATAGTAATTTCTCTTTTCATTTTCTTGCTACAGTTTTTAAATACCTATAGTACATAGTAACGGACTAAACATTTTATTGTGTAGAAAATAAAATGGAATTTGGGAGCCATAGATTTGACAATGGAAACCACTGTTTTGATTTTGTCATAAACAACAATAACACGTTTCATTTAGTTTATTCTAATACAAACATATAATTACATCATACCAAAACTAGTCAATTCTGATCGCAGTTTTTCTTTTTTCTTCGTTTTATGAATGAAACATTGTGGACAGTACGTTTATTCCTAAACTATTTTACATAAAAGAGATCCAAGTATGAAGTAGTTAATCATTATTTATAATGGTAAATAGGATATATTGTTTTTAAAATTCTAATTACCTGAATTCATATATAGATCCGTAGACTCGTCTCATACACCTCAGCAGTCTCGAAAGGCTGTCTTTGCGACAAATAGAACCTCCTTTCGGTATATGATTCATAAACTGCAATTAATGAAAAAGTAAGCATAAATGACAATAAATTAAATGTAACATTTCTAAAAACTGGCATACATCAAACATACTCGCTGAAATGGTGTTACATTCATGACTTCATGTTGATATGGGAACATAAATAGACGCATAAGGCATACTATTTAAAATATTAAAAGATATCGATCAGACAAAAATAGTGCCTGTATGATCTGCTATAAAATAAATAGTAGCCATTTCCTAGTCCAAAAAGTTACAGCTTCTTGGACTACTCGTGACAGATGCAGTAGGGATGATGACTGGATTAAATAAAAGAAATTATATGTAGTCCCTCAGTCAAATAATAGAAAAATATTAAGACGTTATCTATAAAATTAATGTTTCATAAAAAAAATTAAGCGTCTTTTTGTTTCAATAATCAAAGTAACCACCCATGCAATAAATACATCTTTGCCAATGCATTGGTAGCTTATTGATAACCTACTTGAAGAAATCAGTTGGACGGGAGGCAACAAATGCTTCAAAGGTATTTTGTACTGCCTCTTGGGTGTGTATATTTTTTCTCCGCCAAGAAGTTATCCAAATTCTGGAAAAGTAGAAGTCTGTAGGCGCAAGGTCTGGTGAGTGCGGCTGATGACGGAGAACTTCCAACCCCAGCTCTAGTGCAGTATAAGGTCGCGCGTTATCGTGTAGAAGCAGTGGAGCCGAATGATTGACCAAAGCTGGTTGGAGATGTACCAGCTTCTCCATCATTTTATTCAGTTCTTCACAGTTCACATCTATAGTAATGATCGTCCCGTTTGGTAAGAAGCTGTGATGAATTACACCCGCGCTAGACCGCTAAACAGTGACCACCACTTTTCTAGGGATAAAATTTCGTTTAGGGCATTGTTTGTGTGCTGAACCAGGGTCTAACCGGTAGGGTTATAGTCTGTAAAGTTATAGAGTTCAGACCACTATGGTCTTGAGGGGAAAATAAAAATGGAGGATGGTTTTGATACTAGATCGGTGATTGTGATAAAATACAATTAAATAGTATTCAAAAGAATTATTATGATAAAAATGCAAAACCTTTATTGAAACTAAAGGGAGATGATAAGATTATGGTATATGATTATGATAAGAAAGCATGGAAGCCAGGACTAATTGTTAAACTAATGAAAGAACCACGTAGTTATTTAGTTAGAAGACGAACGAGAAAGAGGTGGTTTCTAAAATTATGGGTAGGAAAGAAGAAAGATGATTCAAGTAAATTAACTAATATGTGTGTGTCATTGTAATGTTAATTGTTAGCAAGTGTTAAATGATTATAATAAATCTGTAAACACATCTAATCAAGTTATTAATGTAAATGACCAGAATAGTAAAAACAATGTTACAGATGAAATTAAATTGACCGAGCAATATTTAAATTCCTATAATGTATCAAGAAAGTGATTCAATGATTTGTAATAATTATAATGACCAATATAGATTAAGGGATCGTTCTAAAATTAAACTACCAAAAAGGTTTCAATATTAAATTTATTGTAAGAACTTAAGAGGGAAGGTGGAGGGTTATAATCTGTGAAGTTATAGAGTTCAGACCACTACGGTCTTGGGGGGAAGATAAAAATGGAGGATGGTTTTGGTTGTTATCGGTGATTGTGATAAAATCCAATTAAAGACATTCAATGAGCAGTTGTGTAGTCTTATTTGATATAAAGGCACAAACATGATCCATTTCTCGTCACAAGTAACAATGGGGTGTGTGCTTGTTGAACAGTGCAAGATACGCCTCAATGCGTTCTTCTCGCTGGCGACCTGGCGTGCTTGAGTGCGTGTGTTACCCATTTATCAAGATTTTTTATTATTTCAATTTCATTTGGCCAATATTGTTTTGACGCTAACGTCGAAAACTGCTACTAATTCAGTCGTAGATTGAGTTACATCAGCTTTCACAATCACCTTTTATTCGTCATTATCGACCAAAGTTAGCGGACGACCACGGGATTCATTTTTCAGGTCAAAATTTCCAGAACGGAAGCGGGCAAACCAATAACGGGCGGTGCGTTTGTTTGTTGTGTTCGCTCCGTAAACGTCGTTGATGTTGCGTGCCGCTTGTGCCTCTTTTCTGCCACGACGGTACTCATACTCCATAATTACTCGAATTTTTTAACTTATCCATGACGATGAATAATGTTCGAATGCGTTGAAAACAAAACACTAACTATTAAACAAATGACGATTTTAGAAAAAATAATTTGAAATAAGAATAATCATCCAAAAAAATATGTTGGTATGAAATGACCAGTACGGCAGAACGACAATTTCATAGGTTAAGATCTATTATTAGATGAATTTGTTTTTTGCTTCAATTTAACAATAAATGGCTTAGATAAAAGGCATTAAAGTTGTGGCTCGTTATGGCATAGTTTTGTAGAAAAGGAGAATATTTTTTTTGGTACTTTATTCCAAAAAATCAAACCCCTATAAAGAAAATTATCATAGCACCTAGACCCAATTCAGTATCTTTCGTCAAAGTTTCAGGCCTGATAGTTCCCCCGTTTTAGGGAATTAAGTTAAAAAATTAGTAATATTGCAAAATTAGTAATATTATTTTAATTCACAGCCATAAAATTCAATTTAAAAAAAGAAAACGCCTTAAATTAAAACAAAGTCAAAGGGATACTTCTCTTCTGCCTAGCTTTCGGTAGAGTACTTTAATACTTTGGGGTAATTACGAAAGCGGGGAAATTTTAAAAAAATATATGTTTTTTGTAATTTAAGTTTTTTATCTAGTAAAAGCCTGTTTAATATCCATATTTGTGATCCAGCTATCCAGTAATGTCAGTGTAAATTTAATTAACATGTGAACTAGTGAGCGTGTTAAGAATTTGTATGGAGATTTATGGTATAAATGCCTTAAATGAGGGTTCTCCGAGCACTAGGACGTGCCTCAAGGGGCAAGGTCAAAAAGTGATTGGCCCACTCGATCAAAAAGTGATTGGCCCACTCGATATTCTCTGCTACGGGGCAGTCTCGAATGGGATGAAGAATCCGGGATCCATTAGACAGTTGATTAAAAATCTCTCTTAACGCTCTAATTTAAAAACACTCTTAAGGTGAGGTTGTATCAAATAATTTTGTAAACAAAGTTTATGCTAATGCTAATATTTGCCAAATAAAAATCATTTCACAAAAATTATACTAAATTTCATTAATTGATAGAAAAAAAATCGTAAACGTGACTAAACTAAACTAAATAGGTTTTTGGATCGATTCTACGACTAGTATGTTTCAACTTAACTATATAAAATTATATACAAAAATAGGTCTCGATATACTCTTTTAATAACAAAAAAAAAAAAATAGCAGCGTTTGTTTCCGGTTATTGAAAATGTATGAAATTAAGCGGGCGGGAGTTTACTCTCGATGCGTATTTTGCTGCGTATTTATATGGGAACAAAAACGAAGGTATAAGACCACCTTAATCGGAACGCGGAGCACTGGTGTTCCCTGGAAGAATTCCAAGCGGTTTGCGAAGTATTATAAAATTATTATTATATAAAAATAATCATACTTATATTTATAATAAGTTGTTTTCCGCAAATCCATCATCCCATGTTAATATAGTTTATATATTGTCTATGTCATTTACGTATGATGTAGCTTCCCACAGCTGAATTAATTTTTAAAATCAGTCCAATAGTTTTCGAGCCTATTCGATTCAAACAATGAAATCTTTATAATATTAGTATAGAGTTGAGGCGTATTTTATTTATATTTCACTTGTACGCTAACATAATGCTCGCAGATATACATCTAGCCAATTTTGACACAGCAAAGTGAACGAATGAAGTGATGAAAATGCTAACGATATCCATCAGTAGGTACAGAGTTTAACTTACGAAATTCTTTCTGTTCGGCGACCGTGCTATAAACCAAATGATCGATTCCGTAAAAATCCGAACCCGAATTCGATTTACTCAGGTATCCGAATTCACTTCGAAGGCAAAGTTGGCTTAACCTCGAATTGGTATTAACGTTTCGCGCCCTAAGTGAAGTGAGTTTTGAAATGATGTAAGGATAAAATATCTGAGACACGTGTTAGGGTGCCCCGTTCATGTATGGGAAAAAAATAATTTCTAGATACGGTTACGCAAGAGGTGTCAAAAGTTGAGTGTTGACACATATAACGATTATCTTAAAATTTAATTAGATATCTGTTATCTCGGGGCCTCTAGCGGTCCTTGAAGTTTTTCAAATATTCTTATTTTAGGGGTTCCTAACATAAATTATAAATCCATCAAAAATAAAGTTTAAAAGGTTTTTATTAAATTTATGGGTACAATAATGAGTCAAACAAGTTAACATATAGTTGAAAGACATGTAACAAGTCGCTATTTTAAAAACGGAACTGTTTTTTTTTTGCCCAAAATTAGGTATTTCCGCGCAAGATATTAATCTGTTTCTAATGAAACCATACCGAGCTGTAACGTCGTTGACGTTTTGAGAAGTCTCCGTCACTACTTTCACACATCTTTCCACTGCCTGTGTGTGACAGGGCAAGTCAATAACGAGGCTGTGTTCTTTAGCCTTCATTCTTAGGCTATCGTTGGAGATGTGTCGCAAAATTGGTGGACCCGATATCTCACACTCTTGCCAAAATATTATATTAATGTAATCTTTTGCACAGAAGATTGCAGAGCTTTGGTGTTTAAATAACCTGCGAGAGTTACTCTTTTCTGCTTCTCTGGTCTTAAATATTTTGCCAGATGCAAGTTCTCGAATATGGTATCTGTCATCGAATAACATGGCAGTAAGCAGGTTTTCTGGGTTCGCAAAAAAAGCGTTTCTTTTGATCACTGAATTTACAATAGATCTCTGACTATCAAGGCAAAAATCGAGAGTGCACAATAATTTGAAAAATATGCTTGGCTCTATCTTTAGAGAATGAGTTTTGTTTGATGAGAAACTGTTGTTTCTGCATTAATAACTCAATTTTTGAGGGTTATTGAGTAGAGAAAATCGAAATAAAAATTTCGAGTCACCCTAACACGTATGAATCAATCAATCTTATTTTGTATCTTTACGCAAAAAAAAATGGAATCAATAGAATTTGTAAATTAATATAAGTTAAGCGAATTCCCTTTCGACATGAATACGGTCACCTGAGTGAATTCGAATTCGGGTTCGGATTTTTACCGAATCGCTCTGCTGTGCAGTTTCTTATCGAGATGGCAGCTCGTTGGATCATTTGTTTTATATCCGGTTAATGAATAAAGTTCTTTACGTACAAAAATATTTCGAACCTGCCAATCCCCAAGAGTCTTATAACATCCAGCTGGGAATGCACTAGTTCGCCACCAGAGGTTCCATCTGTCTTCACTGCCACTGTATCCGTGGTACATTCGCCAACCCCGTTCCGCACAAATCTTCATAAAGATACAATAATAAAATAATGAGTATCTATAAGTACGTCATAAAAAATGGATATACAAAATTGTCTTTCTTCAATCAATTTTAAATTTTAATATGTTATCAAAGTTCAAATTCGATTGAGAAAATTTGATATCATGTGGTAACTTGTATGTGCTGCTATATGTTTATAGCTCAGATTCCAAGTATGTATCTACAGCTTTTATTTAATGGTAAACTGAAACAATGCTGGTTTAACAAAACTAAGACCCAAGATATTAAATAGCATTAACTCCAGAGATTGCGATAGCATTCAAACTGGCGTGAAAATTAGTTTATCCACAGATATCGTCTACATAGTATTTAAAAGAATGATAATTTCAAATTTTCAGAAAAAAAATATGTTTTTGTAGATGTATATTATTTTAAAACTAGCTGTTTACCCGGCACTTCGCTAAGTAAATGCCTATATCACCCACATATGATGTAGCCTCCCGTAGGTGAAAGAATTTTCATGATCTGATCAGTATTTCTGAAGATTACCCCCTACAAAAAAACAAAAAAAAACGTAAAAAGCTTTACATCTTGATGACATTACTCACAAAAATGTTAATTACCTTAACAAGTAAGCTCGGTCCGGATCCATTATCGTTGAGCCTAAATATGAACGGCTCATCGTTGTCCATTCCGTTCATATTTCAAACCGTCTCTAAAAGAATCATTCATTGATTTATAAATTAAAATAATACTATACAGAATGTATTTAATCCAGTAAAGCAAACGACAACAAGCCGCTAACCTCGCATTCATATCAAAGATGCATTGCTCTTAATGCCACGATGACACAATTACAAATCCCATTTCCTAAAACTATACGGTCCGAATTGCATTTAGAGACGATGTCAAAGTTTTAGGCTGAATGGTATTTACGTTGACGCTATTTTGTTTTTTTTTTAACGCGATTGATATAAGTTTTTTTTTGGTGCAAGCGTCCGTTGGCTTGGGCCGCCCGCCCGGCACTATTCGGTATTCATATCGTAACGGTAGCTTTCAGGGTAACCACAGCAACCAATGATTAATAGTATGAATATTCGTGACAGAAGCTTTGTAAAAAGCTACGTAACAACGATAATGCATACTGTAGGTTAATGACGGGACTGTATTTTAGTCTCCAATTGCATTACAGCGGTGCTTTTAATATTATGCTAATAACTCCCCTTGAAATTTCAGCTTTGTCATTAGAATTTTTATTTATTCCCTGCAGTCGTAATAAGATACAATATGCATCTCTAGTCTGTTATTAAAAAAATTACGAGATCATTTTTTATTTTATTTCGTTAAGCAAACTCGAATTCGTTTTGGATTTTATTGTTTGATGTCACGCTTGTTGCTAGCGTTTGTATAATATATCTGTTTAAAAACAATTAAATATCACCAAATGAAGACGATTTACGACGACGTCTAGAGATACTCAGTTAAAGGTAACATTCCGAGAACTTAATTTAACTTTGTTAGCAGTTAGCTTGTAATTATATAAATTTTAATTAAGGCACTTACAAACTTTAAATTGGAGTAGTATCTGAACATCCCATAACCCAGTTATAGCGCATTCGTTGCGTGCTACGCGTGATAAACTTATCCTATTATCATAAAAAACCATACGCTTAATATTACTTTGGGAATAAATCGAAATAAAGGGAATATTCCTGCCAACGATTCTCTTTTGTTTGTTTAATCGATTATTGATATAAGTTTTTACGTACAGAAAAAAGGAAAGATTTATAGATTGTAGAGAATTAGAGATTCTCGCACGCGGTGGTCATAATATTTTATGTAAAGGGACCTACTATAGTGTCAAAGAGAAGTTATAAAAAGAGAGATTTTATCAAACCTGAAGGACGGAGGATATACGCCTCGATTTTAACTATTATCTAAAACAAATCTAGATATTTGATAAAATTGCTAAATTTGATCAGTTGAATGATAAAGTGTTTGGGTGTTTCTTATGAATATATGGATATGATCTAATATTTGGAGTAGGCAATGGTTTTTATAATAACACACGAAGCAAATTTTATGAGTATACATTACTTATTTTTTTTATATTTTTAAAAAATGTAAGTTTATATTTCATACTTATATTTTCTTAGCTAGATATTTCTAGAACTAATTGTTTTAATGTTTGCTTCACTGGAATAGCTAAATCGCAACAATTTTATGCCTAAAGGTCACGGTTCCATAATCAACAACATAACTTCCGATGGGAAAATTGATTTTAATAGCTTTGAATTTAAACTAGTTGTGGTTGCGCAGTATCTTATAATCACGATTTAATATAAGTAAATAGCAAACGAGGGACCGATGGTGCAGTGGGTAATGCGTTCGGTTTGCAATTCGGAAGTTAAGCTACTTTCACAAGGGCCGGTTATAGAATGGGTGACCAAAACAATATATCTCGAGTTTTGGAAGACATGTGAAGCCGTTGTGTAGTGTCGTTAACACCCACCAATCCACACTGGGCCCGTTAGATGGTTAAAGCCCATTCCCCGTATTCGATTTCATTCCATCCTTAAAAAAAGCTAATGATGAAATAGCAAAGAAAATAAGTAGGTATAAATCAGACTGAATCATACCTAAAACCTAAACAAAATATGAGAGAATATGTCTTGTGTATTTTTGTTTATTATATACGTAGTAAGTATATAAAAATCCTTTTACACTTAAACTATACCAAACACTACTTGCTTTTCTAGAACTTTTACATATCTATTAATATTTTTAGTTTCTCCTAATTAGACAACTGTACATACTCTTTGTAATACTCACATATATATTCTTTTACTCTTTGGTAATACTTTACTCAAGGAACTGGTAAGTTCTCTTTGAATTATATATAAATACTAGCTGTGCCCGCGACTTCGTCTGCGTGGTAAGTATTTTGGTAGAATTCTTTTTTTTCTATGAATGCAGACGAATCGAATAAGATCAATGGGCCATCACCCACTAAGCGGGCTTAATGCGTATCACTGGGTGTTAACGTTGCTGATGCAGCCAGGATTAACGCCTTAACGTGCATTATGCCAGTGTTATGCACAATGCTCAAGATAATAATGTTTTGGTCACCCATACTGTAAACGGTCCTTACGAATGTTATTTTTCTATTTTTTTCTCGTTTCTCGCGCTCCGGTTGTTGCTTGTTTCTGAGCATTTTATTCGTACCTTTAAACGGTCGTTCTTTTGTTTTGATCTTTTTAAATTATTATTATTTGTCTAGTTGTATGCACAATCGGTTATTTATTGTTCTATTTTTCATGTAATGCTAGTTTGCCTGGAAGAAATCGCCGGCTAGCGATGAGTTTGTCGTTTGTACTTATTTATGTAAAATAAGTATTCATGTATGTCCTTGTTCTGCAGTATTTACTTACTTATTTAACTGCAATTTAAACCAAATAACCGCTAACCCACTACGCCATCGGACCCCTTATGCCTAAGCTATACTAATATTATAAAGAGGAAAGATTTGGTTGTTTGTTTGTTTGCATCGAATTTGCTCCAATACTACTGGACCGATAGTTGCAGTGCCCGACCTTTGCGAAAGTTGCTTAACAACTACAATCGCGGGCCATGGCGCTTATTCACTACGCCATCGAGCTACTCTGAACCGACCCACAGACTCGCGTAATATTATATGAGTATTGTGACCTATGAATAAAGCATTGTTTCCAGCGAAGACTGAAAATACCAACATTGAAGTACGAATCTACAGTAATTGTATGTTAAAAAAAAAACAAAAAGAGTATTAACATAAAAAATAGCAATAAGAGAAAAAAAAAATATATAACTCGTGTTGAGTATGCTGATGACTCGATGAATCAGACTGTAGAGGATGGTGCAAAACAATGACGGATTTCTTCTATAGACGATTAATTTTCTTCTTACTGACTACTTGACTGCTACTACTTATTACTGCTATCTCGAACTGAACTGCTTGTTGACTACTTGCTGACTACCTAACTGAACTGCGAATATGTACAAATTTGGCCCTACCCTTATTCTAAACTTAACATCTAAGTTAGATACTAGTGACGCGCGGCGGCCGACCAATCACAGCGCGTTTTACGCCCGCGCGCCGGGTGGGGGAATCGCCCCCACCATGCGGACGGCGCCTACGCAGCCAATGGGCTCCCCGATAATTCAGCTAATGTAGGCGCTGTGATTGGTCGTTCGACTCGTTCATTTTTCGGCACGTGGCTGTCGTCAACAGTCTCCCCCCGGCGAAGGATCTCCGCAGCCTCCTCCGGTTGGCAGCCCCGTGTCCGTCGCGCAGCGCGTCCTCTCTCATCGTTCCGTGGAGAGTGCGGGTTCGACGATGATTAGCTTCGCTGTCGGCCGCCGAAATGTTCCTCCTTTTGTCGTTATCTCCACGTTCCGGATCACGCCGTCAGGTCCAGGGTAGGTGTTGGCTACGATGACGCGTGGCCACGTGTTTCGAGGCAGGGCGTGGTCGGCTATGATAACCACGTCTCCGGTCCGTACTTCGCTGCTTCGTGGACATTGTGGGTCGCGGCGTGGTACGAGGGTCGGTAGGTACTCCCGTAGCCAGCGTTTCCAGTACTACGTCGGCTAGTGCTTGCGTCGCCCTCCAAGTCCTGCGGTCGCCCTCTTCACATGGCCCGGTGTATGGAAGGCCGGTCGATGACCCCAACAAGAAGTGGTTTGGGGTTAGCGCCTCCGGATCGCTTGGGTCTACGGAGACATGCGCCAATAGTCGCGAATTGACAGCATGTTCCGCCTCGGCCAGTAGAGTGTGCAGGACCTCCTCCTTCGGTGCTCGTTCCTTTAATGCTGCGTTGAGCGCGGTTTTCACGGAGCGAACCATGCGTTCCCAGGCTCCGCTTGGTTAGGTGCTCCCGGCGCGATGAATTTCCATGTGGCATCGTAGTTCATCGCCTCTCTCTTTAGCTCGGGAAGCCACTCGGTGTACGCCTTCTTGAGCTCGGTGTCAGCCCCTCGGAAGTTAGTGTCGTTGTCGCTATATATTACGGCGGGCCATCCTCGTCGTGCTGCCATTCTTCGCAGCGCCATGATTGCGGAGTCAGTGGTAAGTGATGCCACCAGCTCTAGGTGCACGGCGCGTATCGTTAAACAGGTGAATAATGCCACCCATCTTTTTTCTCGTCGTCGTCCAACTTTGATGGTGACTGGCCCGAAGTAATCTATCCCACAATGACTAAAGGGACGTCTGAAGGGCTGTAAACGTTCTGCGGGTAGATCCCCCGTCGGTGGGCTCCTTGGCTACGATCTTCGTAGTCGACACATCAGGCAGCCTGCTGCGACTTTCTTAACGGTTGGTCGCAGCCGCAGGATTCAGTACTGCTGCCTGACGTCGTTGATCACTCGCTCGTTGTTGCAGTGTCCCGCTCGTCTGTGCTCTCGATCAATGATTTTCTTCGTGAGTTCGTGGCGTCTGTCTAATAATACTGGCTTCTTCGCTGTCTCCGGTACGTCCGCCTTATTAATGCGTCTGTTTAGTTTCACAAGCCCGTCTTCCCAAGTGAGGTCGTAACGGTGCAGAGGGCTCGTTCGTGCTACGGGGACTCCTTTCTTCAAGCACTCGATTTCTTGGCTGAAGGAGTCTTGCTGCGCCTGCTGCAGCCATAAATTCAATTCGATACATAGTTGTATCGCATGCAGCGGTCAGCTTCCTTCATTAGGAACGAAG